GTTGGACTCACATGTAACAGTGAGTAGACTACACAATCTTGTCAAATTGCTTTTCCCCGACAAGATCTTTATCCATACTTCTTGGGGACGACAAATTATTTGATACATTTCATAAAACATTAATCACTTACTAGATACGATTTTATCACCGCGTTTTGTTACAAACAAAGGCCAAAATTAATTTGATAACATATCGATCTACATTATTAATCTTCTTTCTACACACGTGTGCAGGTACTGGTACAAATTCCCATTTCTTGAAAGTAAAGGAAGAATACAAGTTGATGATAATAGAGTGGGCCCACTCTTTGAACATACTTTCTCTCCTTGTCTTTCTCCTTCTCTCTCCTTTGTCGGAATCCCTCGAAAGGTACTACTACTCATCATTAATTAATTATCTTCCAAGATTTACATTTGTTAGAGAAAATTCAAAATTATCAACCAAGTTAAAACCTAAAAAAGGGTTTTAATTTTAATTTGCAGTTGATAGGTTTCCCATTTTTCGAATCACAAGCGAAATGGATCGCAAAACTCTTGTCTGGCAAAACTTCACTTCCTTCTTCCGACGAAATGATGCAATCAATCGCTGATTTCTACCAATCCAGAGAAACTGATGGAATCCCAAAACGCAACACTCACGACATTTGTGATTTTTATGTACGAAAATTCCTCTCTTTTCTTCTGTTCAATCAAAGATCGATCTTACTAGTATTCAACAAACTAAAATCTATGTTGCAGTATAGCGATAAATACGCGGATTACATTGGATTTCCGCATCTAGAGGAATGGAGAAAGGTGCTGTGTAAATCGGCTCTACTCAATTCCATAGAAAATCTGGAGACTTATCGAGATTCTTGGGACGACGATGATTATCTCCAAGAAACTCTTCAAGATCCTTACTTTACTCAACTCTCTTCTACTACTCCTTGAACAAGCTTTTCACTATCTGTATGAAAACTACAAGTTTCAACTTTTATGTTGGATGAATAAGAACACTAAACCCTCAAATTTTCTATGGTCTTTTATGTGTAAACCTCTTTCTGTAGTGTGTGTGGTAATGTATAAACCTCTAAAACCAAAAACGTTTCACTGGTTTTAGTGTTGTGTTTCAGTGTAATCTCCTAGGTGGTACCTTAAAAAGGAAGCTGCAAGAAAGCTATTGAATTTTTGGTCTTAGTAGCAGGAATTCTGATGCCTCTTCTTCGTTTTCTTATGGTTCCCCAATCGATTATCACTGTATTTTCCATCAAGCTGGAGTGAGCATCGTTCGTTTCAGAAGCTTCGATTAGCCTTTCTATCTTTTGTACATCCTGAGAGGCTTCGTTTCCTGTAAAAGTGCTTAGGCTCGGGAGATTCTCCTCGTGGTGATCTTCGTGTTGTTGTTGTTGTCGCTTTCCTTGACTGCGCCGGGTCCTATTCTGTTTAGCAGAAACAATGTTAGAGACCAAAGTGTGTGTTCTTTGCTCCTCTGGCTTCATCTCTGTTAGCTGCAATGTCATTGCCTCAAAATAGTCTGTTTGGTAATAATCAGAGTGGAATCCAGTCACGGATAATCCAAATTCACTCCTTGTGTCTTCAACTACCGAAGAAGCGAACTTAGCGAACCAAAGCAGAGGATTGATACAATCAGAGGTTTCGATGCTGGACTTTCCAGCTGAATCTGATAGTGACATATCAACTACAGCCTCTGCTGCTGCAGAGCTTTTTTCATCTTCTTTCTCTGTAACAAGAAAGCTCCCTCTGGTCTTTAATTTGGTTCTTGCATTTTTTCTCATAACCTTTCCCGATTCTATGTGTGGTTGTTTACAATGTCTTCTCTTTCTTGTATTGGTCCAATTTCTAGCAGATTTAACCTCAGGCAGAGAACTTTTTTTACTCCCTTTCTCCAGATGCTCTTGATTATGGTCAGATTCGGGGATGTACGAAGCAGTACTCAGTGAATGGTTATCATCCTCATTAACACCAACGCTCGAGTCAACATTTGAGCCTTTCCACGCTTTTCTGCGAGGAAAAGTTTCCAGAGTGGTGGACTTTGCTCCACGTTTTCCTTTCTTCCTAGGCCATGAGGAACGTTTGTTGAAGAGTGAAATGCCTTTCGAACAGGGGAGCGCTAGAACTATTGATCGTGATGGTCCTGTTATGTGTTTTCCATGCGATGAAACTGCAAGAAACTCTCGGAGTTGCTCAGATTCTATCTTCTTGAAAGTGGTTACTTCTTCAGATGAAAGGGGAGACATATTCAAGTTGATTCCATTCTCTGCACAAAAGAAGTGACTGATCAATTCTCAAAGATCATTCATCAGACCATTTTAGCTTTCTTTATATCCAGAAAGACATTAATATGTACCATCTGGATACATTTCTCACCAACTTGACTTTTTGTAGATATAGGTCGGTCTTGTGCTTCTGATTCTGCTCTTTCACTCCTTGTTTGGACTGGACTCAGGAAATGATTAGGCTCATAATCTGAATGTTCCTCGATCTTGGCAGGTTCATTCAAGTCAAGTATACATTTGGACCTCGAAAAACCGGTTAAATGCCGCACATTTTCCAGCTGGAAAACGGATTCATGAACTTCTCCATTCTTTGAACCTTCTTCCTCTTCCCCTATATCAAGATAACCGTAAGACGGTAATTCAAGATCCAAGACCTTCTCTCTGTACTTGTCACTCTCATCTCCAGAAATTCCAGCTTCATCGATCTTGGCAGATCCGTCTTCTTTTGGTGGCAAAACTCTAGTTTTGGATGTGGAGATACTTGAACTCATCCAGTGTATCCCGGCTCTAGGACTAGAGTCCCCGGCATTAAGTAACAAATGTCGCGGTTGGCTACATAAGTTGTTGGTTTCTCCCATTTCCATCATCAGATCTTTCTGCTTTCGATACAGACGATGAAGCTCATGGATCTGAGCTGACAAGTAGTATCAGAGAAACATGAAACAGATGAATTGATTTGTAACTTGAATTGTGTAATGAAAAGCTTTACCTGATCTTCAAAGACAGATTCTTGGTCAAGCATGATCTGCTTCAATGATTCCTTGAACTGTCTCAAATAAAGACCACAGTAGAGTACCGAAATCGTATCGTTTGCATCGCCGCTGTATCTATTGGTTAAGACCGTATCAATGTCCTGTACAGGACACAAACTCCACAAGCTATCATCCATGTAGGAGAGTAAACCTGCAGTAGCATTAAAATCAAAGAAACTCGTTACCAATTTGATTGGGATACAACGAATCTAGTGATGAAAAATAGATCTGTGGATATTGCAGAGCTCCACAACGAAATTTCACCAATGATCATCCAGACGTTGATAAGATGATGAAACAAAAGTATAAATCTGCAAGAGCGGAAACTCAGAAACATTATTCGAGCAAAAACAGACAAGAAAAACGCGATTAAGTGGTGATTGATGTGTTTATTTAATTGATTTGTGTGAAGCGATAAGGAATGCGCACTCGAGATCTATTCTCATGGAAGCTTCCTCAGAGAGAAAGAAAGAGAGTGCAGGAAAATGTAGAATTTTCCGAGAGAAAAACAAGCGAGACTTAAGGAAAAGGTTCGTCTTCTTACCGAACTTTCCGTCTTTTTGATTCGTCCTTTGTTCTTTCGTCGTCGTCTTCTTCACAAAAATTTTTACTTTTTTTGTTGTGTCGGCGAAAACAAAGAAAAATACATAGATCTTCTTAAACCATCACTAGCATTTGTGGTAATTAACAACAAAACACTATATATTTGTTGAGGTAATCGTCATCATCATCACATCAAAGGTTGAGGAGAAGATGTCTATGTTACTACTCCTCTGCAACAACAACACCGATCTCGCCTTTCTCGAGCAAATCGTAAAATGCTCTTGTTTTCCTCTGCTCGTTCCAGTGATGCATCTTCCATAGCCCACCAGCTGCTAGCCCGAGTGTCAGACCAATAACTAACTCCTTCACAACAATTGGACCTTTCAATGTTGTTCCCGGCCATCTCTTTCACGCTCTTCTGGTCACTAAGCAAATCAACCATTGCAATAGAATCAGTGAAATTTCAGCAAAACAAAACGGCATTCTCTGGTTATACACAGGCAATAGACCTTCAAAAGCCAACCCTGAGAGAGAGACACTATAAGTATTCACAAATTCAGTTTATAATCATCAACACTTAAATCACAAAGGGAGTTGCCACTGATCAAATCCCAATCAAACAAACACTAAAAAAGCTGAAACTTTGAGAGTGCGGTGACAAGTACACCGAATTGGTTAAAAATGAGACCACTAATTGGGGATTCTGAAATTTGTGTTTTTTACTTCAAGAACCAATCAGCTTTACCACTACAACACTATTCAGGAATACAACAATAAGGAAATCATAACATGAAACAAGCTTAGTCAAAATCTTGCACAATCAACAAAGCAAAGACAGAGAGACCTTGTATAGATAATCTCTCATAATAAATAAGGCTAATGTGGATCAGTCAAGGGGGTCTTTTGATCAATGCAGGAGGTAATGAGGGAAACTAATTGATGATTTAAGAAGCAAGAGGAGACTAATGTATGTAGGGAGAATTCTAGATTGGCAATCAATAGTAGAAAGCAACCCCACGCCTTTAAAATCGACCCATTCTTAGATTAACACACACTAGCAACACATAGTGCAGTGGCGAGAATCAGGTTCAATGTTGGAGAGTTTGCGGAGCCACAGATACCATAGCTCAAGGCATGGACAAGGGCCCTCTCCGATTAGGTTTGTCTCCTCGAAAACTAAATAAAACATCAAAAGCCACACACACACACACATTACTCATAACCTGCTCAGACCTTTTACTTTTATCATTCCATCATCTCCACCACAACAAAACGCCACAAACAGATTTATAAAGCTAACACAAGTTTTCAAGCTAGAAACTTTCGGAACCTAGGCTAACAACGGCATCGAAAGGAATCGACCCAGAACCATTAATCAGATGCAGACCCAAAAGAAACGGAGACACTGTATGAGCAAAAGAAAACAGGAAATTTAGAAAAGCAAAAGGAATCATAAGCCCGAAATTGATGAATCATGCTCCAGACGAAAGAATCAGAGAGAGAAACCTGTTAAAGAGGCGTTTAGCAAAAGCTGAGAGAAACCGTATATCAAGAACAAACTATGTTCCTTTATACTACTACTAGTTCATTTCTAGGGTTTCAAGGTAGGAGAATTAAGAAACGACACCGTTTCCATTAAAATTTTGCAAAAGTAAAGCCTAAATTAACCAATTTTTCACGAATTTGTTAATCATATGGGAAAAATCACGACTCTTGCTATCATTCATTTCCATTCTATAGAATGTACCTTATTACTCCATTTATTAGTCTTCTTTAAAACCGAAAACAAAAACACAAAAACAATCTAATACTG